TTAATCTTTTAAATATTCTAATTTTTTCAGGATATTAGTTAGATTCACTTCTTACTTAAAAAATTTAAGCTAATATTTCTTAAGCAAAAATAAGTTTTTAACCTTTCAGAAAAATCAAATAAGGAACTCCAGGTAAAAGTCCTACAGTTTTAACCAAGTTAGTTTATATTTAATGTAATTATCTTTTAAGGAAAATCTCAAGAATTATCACTCCTAGAGATAATAAAGGATCCTAAATATATCATAAAAAAAATTATTAATTAATATTTTAATAATTTTAAACTAATCAATTATTTTAGAAAATCAATAAATTTTACATGATTATTTTAATTAATCTATGAATAGAAAGTATTTCCTGGCTATAACTCTTTTTAAAAGTTAAAATGAATGAATAACTAGATATTGAATAAAATAATATCTTAAATTTTTACCTATTATGAATTTATTCATTTCAGCACTGTAAATTACATTTTTTGAAGATATATTTTTGAAATAAATTCCGTGCTAGGCTAAAACATTTAAACCTCTTATTAATTGGTAAGTAAGAGTCAAAACTTATTGATAACTGAATTTAAAAGTTTAAGTCATAATTTCTAGATCACCTAAATTATAAAATAAATTAAAAAATTTATTTAAATGAAATAAATATTGCCATCACTGCATTCGGTAACAATAGCATAAATTCCATAGCTTTAACTCTAAATAATCTCAATTACTTCTTAGATAAATCTTTCATTTTCTATTTTTTTTAATGTCTAGATAATTTTTAAAAATCCTTATAAATTTTTTTCTTCGCGCTAATTATAAATTTATATCTCAACGAATCTTTGATGCTTTAAAGAATATGCTTATATTTTTTATTATTTATCCAAGTATCTTTGAAACTTAAATTTGTTTTGCTTTAAAAAATCTTCAATTTATTAGGATTAACTTTGATACTGACCCATAATTTGTTTTCAGCCAATTTTTATTATTACCTTGTTTATTTTTATATTATTTTCTTTTTAGCTTTTATTTTTTTTAAATAAACTTTTATTTAGATTTATAACTTAAGATTATTAATTAAACTTTTATGATTTCTTAATATTTTTAGTCACCTTTAAGTTTTTATTGATTCTTAATTTTTGTCACCTTTAAGTTTATATTATACCTTGTTTGTCACCTTTAAGTTATTATAAAAGAATTTTGTTTTTGTCATAAGCAAAAATATTAATTTAATTAAAAGTTTACAATAATAATCCTAAGTTCAAAAGTCTTAATAATTAAGTTTTTTACAAACTTTAAGTTTGTTTTTATATATAAAAGAATTATTTTTTACAATATAAAATAAATTTATTTTATCATAAATTATAAATTTAGCAATTTCAAAAAAATTATCAAATGGATATTTCAAATAAAGTTGGGATGAGGGAAATTTTTCCATTTTGTTCTATTTTTAAAATTTTTTTTAGAAAAACAATGTTAAAATAAAAAGCACTAATTGATTTATCCCTAAGGTTTTCAACCATGCTATCTAATTTTTCATTATAAATAAATAAATAATAAGTAGAAATTTAGGGGTTGCAATTTGTAACACCTCAAATTCCTTAATATGATATAGGATAATATTTAAGAGCTTTATTGTTTGTTAAAATGAGGGATAGTTTTAGAGAATTGATTCATTTATATAAATAAATTTTATTTGTAAATTTTCATTTATTTAATAAACTATTTATTCACTTACCAAAATAAATATGATATTCTTAAATATAATAATAATAATAAATCTATCTAAACATCTGTCTGTATTTTAGGTTAAATTATTTTAATACAATATTTTATGAAATAAAACATACTATTTTCTTTTATTCAAATATTTTATATTTATTCATACTTTTTTCACAACTTATTTATCTTCAATCGAAATATATTTCAATGACAACTAATCTTTTTGATTTAAGACACTTGCTTTTTACTTTCAATTATTATGATTCATTGATTTAATTTTCACTTTAAAATATTAAATTAAAATTAAATAAAATATATGAAATAGAATAAAAGGTTTTAATTAAAAATTATACTTAAAATTAATAAATAAAAAAAAGATTAGCATCATAAAAAAGAAAAAGAAAATAAATTATATAAAAATTTAATAAACAAATTAAAAGAGTTTTATTGTTTTAAATTCATTTTTATAACTAAAAATACCACAATCCAAAACAAATAAACTTTTTGTACCTAAGATCAAGTGTTAAATTTGAGAGATTAGTGCAATTTACTAAAGCAAAACCTAAGCCCGATGCACCTGTTGCACCAATTTAATTCTTCCTTTTGAAATTTTGAAGAAAAAATATTAATTAATTAGTTGTTTAGAAGGAAAAAATGAAGAAAAAAATATGAAATAATAAGAAATGAATAAATAAATAAATGTTAAAAATAAAAAAATGAGTTAAATTAACAAATATAGAAAGCAAAAAAACACAATTACAATAAAAAAGAAAAATAAATTAAATTAAATAAAAAGTTAATAAACAAATTAAAATAGTTTAAATATATTGTTTTAAATTAATTTTTATAACTATAAATATAACAATCCAAAACAAATTAACTGTTTTTACCCTAGAATAAGTGTCAAATTTGAGAGATTAGTGCAATTTGCTAAAGCCTAACCTAAATCTGAAGAACCTTAATCGCCTATTTAATTTAACCTTTAGATATATTGCAGAAAAAATAAAAAATTAATTAGTCATTTAGAAGCAAAAAATGAAGAAAAATATGATATAATAAGAAATGAATTAATAAATTATAAAAATAAAAAAATTAGTTAAAATATGAAAGAGAAGAAAAAAAAACAAGTACAATAAAAATAATAAACAAATTTAAAAAATTTTTATTGTTTTAAATTCATTTTTACAACTAAAAATATCATAAAATTAATAAATTGTTTTTACCCTAGAATAAGTGTCAAATTTGAGAGATTAGTGCAATTTGCTAAAGAACAACCTAAGTCTGATGCACCTGTTGCCCCAATTTAATTTTTACTTTTGAAATTTTAAAGAAAAAATATTTTATTAATTAGTTTTTTAGAAGGAAAAGATGAAGAAAAAATATGAAATAATAAGATTGATTATTTAATAATAAAAGCAAATGACAAAAAAAAATTAAATTAAGAAATATAGAAGAAAAAAACAAAAATACAATAAAAAATAAAAATAAATCAAATAAAAAGCTAATAAATAAATTCAAAGAGTTTAAATATATTGTTTTAAATTCATTTTTATAACTAAAAATATCTCAATCTAAAACAAATAAACTGTTTTTACTAAAGGTAAAGTGTCAAATTTGAGAGATTAGTAAAATTTGCTAAAGCAGAACCTAAGCCTGATGCACCTTAATTACCTATTTAATATATATAAATATTATAATATAATTTAATTAAGATGTATTCTGAGTGCATATTTATGTGCGAATATTTCTATTCTATTCTATTACCTATTTAATTGAACCTTTTAGAATATTGCAAAAATATCAATAATTAATTAATTAGTTATTTACAAGGAAAAAATGAAGAAAAAATATAAAATTATAAAAAATTAATTATAAAAAAATAAATTAAATAAAAAGCTATTAAACTAATTAAAAAGTTATTTTGTTTTAAATTCTTTTATAACTAAAAAATTCACAATTCAAAAAAAATAAACTGTTTTTACCCTAGACTAAGTGTCAAATTTGATAGATTAGTGCAATTTGCCAAAGAAGAACCTAAGTCTGATGCACCAGTTGCACCAATTTAATTCATACTTTTTAAATATTGAAGTAAAAATAAATAAATAATAAATTATTTAGAAGGAAAAAAGAAGAAAAATATGAAATAATTAGAAATAAATTAATAAATAATAAATTAAATGTTGAAAATAAAATGAGTTAAATTAATGAAAGATAGAAGTTAAAAAAAACTAAAGTAAAATAAAAAAATTTAGTAAAAAGTTAATTAACAAATTAAGAGTTATATTGTTTTAAATTCATTTTAATAACTAAAAGTATCACATAACTAATAAACTGTTTTTACCTAATATCAAGAGTCAAATTTGAGAGCTTAGTGCAATTTGCTAAAGCATAACCTAAGCCTGATATATA